TGTTGTAGCCTGTAACCAGGGCTATCTTTTCCAATTTGAATCGTATCAAATGGTGGAGTACATCTCGAGTTATGATTTTCGGCGCACTAGGGGGTATGCTGCCACATGCTTAACTCAATCACAATGGTTCTCACAAGTTCCACAAAGTTACACACAAGAGAGTTAGGGTAGCACTAAACCAGGTAGGAGGGAAGAGGAGGACGAGAGGGAAGGTCCCAAGAGATTCCCCAACCAAGGAAACCCCATGCCACACAATTCCCTTCCCCATAGGCAACCCCACTTTCACATTTGTCACTTTCCCAACTCATGCCATCCACCTCAACCCACTTGGCCACACTTGCCAACCTGGTTTGGCTTCACCCAACCACATGGCAGCATTCTACAGTGATGGGTTCGAATTCCCAACCCCCAAAAGTCTGTACCCCATATTGAGTCAACCCCACAACTTCCCATAGTCGCCACAACCGAAGTACAGAAAGCATACGAACTCCAACGTTCGTAACTTTCTTGATATTGCTCCGATCGCGACGATTCTTGGCTCGTCGGTGAGCTCTTGAGTAGAGCTGTCACTTCAGATATCTGCCCAAGCCAAATATCATCCACACACACTCAGGAAATCCAAACCGCGCAAAACACAAATTCTTGCACACGCTCACACCACGCTTGCAACACACGAACACTTGATGGAGGCAGACAGACGTGAATGCATATGGTTGCATCACAACATCTCGTACCAACACCTGGGCGCTTGCTTAAGGCCATAGATGGCCTTCTTAAGCTTGCACACCCGGCTGGTCCCATCCTCATAGCCGTCGGGCTGCGCCATGTAGATATCCTCCAGCAGTATTCCATTGAGGAACGCAGTGGTGATATCCATCTGCTTCACGTGCCATCCCTTCACAGCTGCGCCAGCCATCAAAGTCCTTAGTGTTACTGGCTTAGCAACGGGAGCGAAGATCTCCCCAAAGTCGACCTTCTCTTTTTGCTGAAACCCTTTGGCGACCAAGCGGCTCTTGAACCGCTCCAACGCACCATCAGCACCACTCTTCACCTTGAAGACCCACTTGCTGCTGATCGGCCATCGCCCCTTGGGTAACTCAACAAGCTCCCAAGTCCCATTCTCAATGAGACTGTTGAACTCCGCATCCATGGCAGCCTTCCACTCCTCTTTCTGGGGTCCACTGAGTGCCTCCTCCACTGTGGCTGGTTCCCCAGGCAAGGGTGTGAAGAAACAGAACGCCATCTCCTCATCCTCCCCCTCATCCGCCTGAACCGCCATGGCACCTTGCTTGGGTCCTCCCAAACGGCTATACTTCAACCTTGAGGGTGCTGCTACCACTCTCTTCTCGCGGGTTGCAATTTTCTGCCCTTGTGGTGAAGCTCCTCTCTGCACACTCCTCTTGGTGACCTTGGCGTTTTCAGCAGGCACGGGCTGAGATGGTGAGTCCACACGTGCCGACTCATCCTTTTACCCCTCCTCCGCAGCAGGACCAGCACCTTGCTGCTCACCACCGCCACTGTGGTCACTGGTCAGCTCTGACCCAGGGAGATCCTCAAGGTGCAGCTGAACCTCCTCCACTGCAGACCGCTCAATCTCCTGCAAACGCAAGCCAATCTGCACCTGCTGCTGCTGCTGCCAATCCTTGTACATGACGTCCTCCACAAACTTTACGTCACGACTGACCAGCGTCCTCTTGCTCTTGGGGTCCCACATCAGCCACCCCTTCGAGTCAGGAGCCATCCCAAGATGGACAGCCCACACAGCAGCAACTTCCAGCTTGTGCCTCTACTCCTTAGGCACCATCACAAGCCCCATGCAGCCCCATACCCGCAACATGTCAATGGATGGCTTCTTCCCAAGCCAACGCTCGTACGGCACCCAATGCTTGTCGCCAACATGAGTCAAGACCCTGTTCTTGACCGTGATGACATGGCGAACGGCATCAGGCCAGAACTTGTAGGGCATCCCAGCAGCCCCCAACAAGGTCTTAGCCGCCTCGCCAATGGTCCGGTTGGCACGCTCAGCAATGCCGTTCTGCTGCGGTGTTGCAGGGCGGGTCAGCTGATGTCGGATGTCATTTCTCTTGAGGAACTTGGTGAATTCCGCTCCAAGGAACTCTCCACCTCGGTCGCTCCTCAGCACCTTCACCAGCCGCATCGCTTGCCGCTCCACCATCGGCAACCAATCCTCCTTGATCGCCGCTGCAGCATCGCTCTTCTTGGACAAGGGACGCGCCCACGTGAAACGGCTCCATTCATCCACCATGGTAAGGAAGTACAGCACTCCCCCAGTCCCCTCAGTCCTCATAGGACCCACCAGGTCCATGTGCACCACCTCCAGCGGCGCCTTCGCTGATCCCTCTGCACGTGGAAACGGGAACCGCGCAAACTTGTTTTGCATGCACGCCTCGCAGCTGCCATAGTGAGCGCCATCTCCTTGCAGTTGCAGCCCATGCACGCACTTCTCCTTATGCATCACCTCCAGTGTTGAAACAGCCACGTGTGCGAGCCGCCGATGCCAAGTCTCCCAATCCGCTTGGCCCGAGGTAGCTGACGCCTTCACCGCCGCGCTTCCTCCAATCAGCTCCTCTCCTTGCACACCTTGCTGCTCCTCCTCGGTGACACTCTCCTCCATAGATGCCGCCGCTGCCGCCTTGCCCGATTTCCGCCAAGGGAGGACCGGGATCTGCCACATCCGCTTGTGGACATCTCCCTTCCACTGCAGGACCCAAATGAGGCGCTCATCGTTGTAAGCACGATAGCGCTCCGAGCCAATCGTCTCGTTGTTCACACCCGCATCTCCCAACCGGCCGGTAGAAATCAGGTTCGCGCACAAGTCCGGCACCCACAGCACATTCTTCAGCCCCACGAGCTCTCCATCCGCTCCCATGAACTTGGCGCATCCCATGCCCATGACCTTGGCCTTCGCGCCCGTCGCGGATGTGACCGTAGAGATAGGTGCGGGCTGAATCTCATCGAGTAGGTCCGCACGAGGAGTCATGTGCCCGGAGCTTCCCGAGTCAATCACCCAATGGGTGAGGGGGTGTAGGAGAACCTTGGCAGCCATAGCGAGGTCGGTTGCGCCTTCGTTCACGAAAAAGAAGAACCCGGCCTTCCGCTCCTCAGATTTGCCGCCTTTCTCCTCCTCCTTCTCCTCACCACTAGCTCCCATGACTCCCCCACTCCTCTTGCCACCATGCAGGTTGCTCGATGAAGGCGGGGTCCAATCCTTGGGTCGTTGGTAGCACTTCCGCCAACGATCTCCGCGCTTCTTGCAGTAGAAGCACACCTCCCCTTGACCCCCGCCGCCATCCTCCTTAGGGTTGTCCTTGTTTTTGCCCTTCCACTTCTTCTTGAAGCCACTCTTTCCACCTCCAACTCCATAGCCAGCCCCCTCCTCCGAGCGCTCCACACTCCGCCGCCGCAAGTCCTCCTCTAGGATGCGCGCGCGAATGTAATCCACGCTCCATTGGGGTTGTTGGGAGTTGAGGTTGATCGCCAAGGCAGACCACGACTCCGGCAGCCGTATCACAATCTCCACGCATTGCACGAGCTCCGGGTACACCACACCGCCTCCTTGGAGCTTCGTGAAGATGTCGCGCATCTCATCCAACACCGGTTGCATCGGCTCTCCATCAACGAACTTGATCTCGCGCAGCCGCCGCGCGAGTAGCACGATGCCGGTAGCATGTGTCGGTGAGTGCACATCCAGAAGCTCCCTCCAAGCCTTGGGGCCACACTCTGGATCACCCAAGAGGTCCTTGATGTGGTCAAGTTGTCGTCCGCCAACCGCTTGCACCATGAGCATGTACGCATCGAACGATCGCTTCATCCACGCTCCTTTCAGCTCCGCGGCCTCCGGCATCTTCTCCTTCCCCTCCACCAGATCCAATAGTTTGTATTGGGTGTACATCAGCCTCATGCGGAAGCTCCAGTGCTCGTAGTCCTCCCCCATGAATTTCTCAATAGAGAACGCCTTCACGGGATCCACGGTTGTTGGAGATGGTGTAGTAGACGTAGGTAGCGTAGGGTTGGCTGGTTGGTGAGTCCCCACTCCTCCACCAGCAACTCCCCCCTGCTCTCCAGCCTCTCTACTTCTATCCATCTCGCCACTAGCACCTCCGGAGTTCGTACCAACCATATTGAGGCCTTATGAACGGTGGAAACTTGAGAAATCGTTTGGAGAGAATTCTGCCAGAAATTTCGATTCTACGAAAAACGCCGTCGCGGACAAAACACTTCGAATTGGAACGCGGTTTGACCACCAATCGAAAGTTCGCAAGCAGAGATACTAGAAAATGGTCTCACTCGACATCATTGATTGAGAATTCACGACGGTTCGTCGTCTCGAAGTCGACTACCCGCTCTGATACCACTTGTTCAGGATCCGTCACTTTGAGAGCTTACGACGAACTCATTACTCAACTAAACGCAAATCCGCTCGGTAGGAAGTTGCGCCTTAGGCTTAGCTACCATCTCCAGGTTGAATCAGTCGTTAAGTTGGTCTATAGAGTGAGAACCAAGTAAAAACGTCCAGCAGCCGCATGACTAGAATGGTGGAGGAAGTACAAGAATGTAGGCATAGGAAGTTGGAGTTGGGAACCTCCAAGAGAACCATGAGAGGGAAGGGGTTCTCCAAGAGCTAGGGAAGGATGGTAGGAACCTTCCTAGCAGCAAGGATGCAACCCTCATCATGAGGTCCTTGAGGTGTCACATGCAAAATCCAATCTAGTTGGATTTTGCCTAGGTGTTGCAACATTTGCAACCCATGCTAGAAACTTCTAGCCACCCCAATCCAAAAGTCAAAGTTGGCTTCCTAACCACCCAACCAAAGATCCCTTTATAGTCATGTCCCAAGTAATCACCCAAATTAGATATAACCCCAAAAAGGTAATAAGAAATCCAATCTTGGAAATCTTGTAATTTGGGCGATCTTGGTCGGAATAAGGCGATCTTGGTGTCGTTGGAAAGCTCTGGATTTCTCCTGCATGATCAAGCATTTAGACTTGGAGAAAAACACAGAGATGACAATATCCAACAGCCATGCATAATGACATATGCTCATGCAAATCATGCAAGCACAAATAGCACGAGCACTCGGCAGGACGTTAGGATGACATGCACTTAGAATGACGTGCATCCAACAGTCGGCAGCAGCAGCAGAGGCAACAGAGGGCAGCAGGGGGGAAGGAGAACACCCCTCAAAGATGGGGGTGCGCGGGTCACCACGAGAGGCTCCTACATCGACTATGCTCTTCTCCGCTGCTAGGAGGGCCTTCTCGAGGAGGTCGACAGTGAGGGTGGTGGGACAGACTGAGAGGAAGTGGTCCCTCACTACGCGAAGGGAGTCAGGGAGGCGAGTGACTATGTAATAGAGAGCGATGTACATGGGGGGGGGGGGGTTCCTGGCGCAGAACTCAGCAGGAAGTGCGGCGCGGTAGCGAGTGTCAGAAGTGCGGAGGTGCGTGATGAGGTCAGCGACTGAAGGAAAGGCAGCAAGGTCAGGAAAGAGGTACGGTAGCATGAGGCGGCTCAGTGCAGCAGTGGCAGGGGAAGAGTAGCGCGCAACTACAGCGTCGTACAAGGTCTGAGCACTCTTGTACTGACTAAAGTGCGCGCGCTCAGTGGTAGGCAGGTGGCGACGCACAGCAAGACGTGCAGCAGCATCGCGGGTGGCCCACCGAGAGCGAACAGTGGGGTCAGCATCAGCAGCAGGAGCAGGGGAGGCGCCAGAGGTGAGGTCAAAGAGAGAAAGACCGTCCGCCCTATCACACTGTAAAAACAGCTGCAGGTCGTGGACCCAGACCTCAAAGTCAATGGCTCGACCCTCAGCGTCAAAAGCGAGGACACTAGGGGTAGCCATGACGACAGACTAGCAGTGCAAGCAGATAGGGCAGGTCGGGCGGCTCGGCAGTAGTGCAGCTCGGCTGCGGGGCGGCTCGGCGGTACTGCGGCTCGGCGGCCCGGCGGCTCGGCGGCTGCTGCTGGGCGGCTCGGCGGTACTGCGGCCCGGCGGCCCGGCGGCTCGGCGGCTGCTGCTGGGCGGCTCGGCTGGACTGCGGCTCGGCGGCCCGGCGGCTCGGCGGCTGCTGCTGGGCGGCTCGGCTGCTCTGGTACCGGGCGGCGTGGCGGGCGGCTGCTCGGGCGGCTCGGCAGGAGGGGAGACCGGCGGGGCCGCGAAGGTGTGGGCGGCGGGGCCGCGACGTGAGGGCAGCGGGGCCGCGTAGGAGAAGGCGGCGGGGCCGCGTAGGCACGGGCGGCGAGGCCGCGAAGGTGAGGGCGGCGGGGCCGCGTAGGTGAGGGCGGCGGGGCCGCGAAGGTGAGGGCGGCGAGGCCGCGAAGGTGAGGGCGGCGGGGCCGCGTAGGTGAGGGCGGCGAGGCCGCGGAGGTGAGGGCGGCGGCGCCGCGTAGGTGAGGGCGGTGGGGCCGCAACGTGAGGGCGGCGGGGCCGCGACGTAAGGGCGGCGGGGCCGCGTAGGTAAGGGCGGCGGGGCCGCGTAGGTAAGGGCGGGGGGGGGGGGGGGGGGGCGCGTAGGTGAGGCGGCGGGGCCTCGACGTGAGGGCGGCGGGGCCGCGATGTAAGGGCGGCGGGGCTGCGACGTAAGGGCGGGGAGGGGGGCCGCGTAGGTGAGGCGGCGGGGCCGCGACGTGAGGGCGGCGGGGCCGCGACGTAAGGGCGGCGGGGCCACGTAGGTAAGGGCGGCGGGGCCGCGTAGGTAAGGGCGGCGGGGCCGCGTAGGTAAGGGCGGCGTAACGGGCCGCTAGGGGCGACACGGAGGGTCGCTAAAAAAAAAAAAGGAACGCGCGCCTCGGGGCGCGCTTCGGTGGGCCCTAGGAACAGTCCCTAGGAGGGGACCTGCTCTGATTCCATGTGAAGAAGTGAACGCGAATGAATGAACTATGAATGAAGTGGGTACAAGTACTAACCCTAATTGGGTTGTACCCCCTATGGGATACCCCACTATAGCCTACACAAAAGCATGTGCATACACCGGGATTCGAACCCGAGACCGCTCTGATACCATGTCGGAATCCCAACCACTAGACCATTGGGATAAAAGGGCTTGTTTCAGTAGCGGGTCAGTGCGCCCATAACCCCCCAGGCAAACGCGCCTGTAACCCCCCCTAGGATCGATCGGGGATCTCACAGTGTAGCTCTACTGACACCTGCTGCATGCTGCCTTTGCCTTTGCCTGCTGCCTGCTGCCTACTGCCTTTGCCTACTGGCTTTACCTGCACTGCGATTATGGCGACGCTTAATGTTCTCGCGTTTGAGCCTGACGGTCGCCCGATGGAGTTCGCTGTGTGGCTTGACGATCTCCAACTTTTCCTTCTGATCGATTTCAAAGACGGCGTTTCACTGTTCGATTACGTGTCTGGCACTGCCGTTGCTCCTGCTGACGATGCTACTGCTTTGTTGGAGTTGGCATTATTGGTGGTACAATTATTGATATGGAGGTGACAATCCTTGTGGGTTAGCTATTTAGATAAATGCTATGCTGTATTATTGCATCATCAATCATTTTATCCCAATTTATTCAGTTGCAAGTGTTGGGCTGAGAAAAGCTGTTAGGATAGTTTTGAATGACTAAGGCTCATATAATCTATTAGCGGAAGCGTCTTAATGAAAGACTGATTGAACCACCTTGCATTGGTGTGTGAGAGAACAAGACGAGTTGAATAATATCATAGAAATACTGGGCATTTATATGATTACAGTGACGACTCGGGTAACTGCTCAATAGCGAGTCAGTTATTTGTCAAAATGCTATAATTTTCAAATTATATGCATGTCATATATGTGTAGGCTGTAGTGGGGTAGCTGTCAGAGGTCCACTGGTGATTTCCGATTGATCCTAGGGAATGGTTACAGGCACGTTGGCCTGGGGGGTTATGGGCGCACTTACCCGCTACACAAACAAGCCCTTTTATCCCAATGGTCTAGTGGTTGGGATTCTGACATGGTATCAGAGCAAAGGTCTCAGGTTCGAATCCCGGTGTGTGCACTTCGGGCATCCCAGTGCGGGGGGATGTCAGAGGTCCACTGGTGATCCCCGATTGATCCTAGGGAAGGGTTATAGGCACGTTGGCCTGGGGGGTTATGGGCACACTTACCCGCTACACAAACAAGCCCTTTTATCCCAATGGTCTAGTGGTTGGGATTCTGACAGTAGCCAATATGGGGTACAACCCCATTAGGGTTCACATTTGTACCCAACTTTTTCATAGTTCATTCATTCCTGTCTCTAGATTCTAACATGGTTTCAGAGCAGTACGTCCGTAGGACCATCTTTTTTTTTTTTTTTTCCGGGCCCACCTCCTGCTACCCCACGACTGTGACTGTGACTGTGCATGTGACGTGCTGCGCTGCGCACGCCGTCTGCCTGCTGTCTACTGACTGCGTAGTCTGCTGCTGCTTAGAGCGTGCAGACCTAATTCCTACGCGCGGACCGGTTTTTGCCCTGCGCGTCGCTCAAGCTGCCAGAGTCGCGCCTCAGCAACCCGCGTGCGGCTCGCTGATGCTCCGCGCGCTGCGTCCGCAGCCCGCGCTGCTTGTTGCAGCCCCGCGCGTCACGTCCGTTGCCCGTGCATCGCGCCACAGCCCCGCGCGCCGCGTCTGCCGTCCTTGCGCGGCCAGCTGCGGCTTCGCGCGCCGCGCCTCCGGCTCGCGTAGCCCGCTGCAGCCCCGCGCGCCGCGGCTGCCCCTGTTCGTCGCGGCGCTCAACCCCCCCCCCCCCTTGGACGTCGCCCTGGCTTGTCGCGACGCCCCCCCCTGGACGCCGCCCCTGCCGGACTGCCGCCGTCGCTCCTGCAGCAGCTGCCGCGGAGCGCCCTGCCACGGTCGTAGCCCCGCCCTGCAGAAGCTGCCGCGGAGCCTCTTGCTACTGCCGCGGCCCCACCATGCAGTAGTCCTCGCGGCCCCGCCCTGCAGCAGTCCTCGTGGCCCCGCCCTGCAGCGGTCACGGCCCCGCCCTGCAGCAGCTGTCGCGGACCTGCTCTACCGCCGACGCGGCCCGGCTCTGCCGCATCTGTCGCAGCCCCGTCGTCGCCGCCGTCGTGCGCCTACCCGGCTGCCGCCCGCTGAGCGCCGGCCCTGCTCGCCCGGCGAGCGCCTGCCCTTCCCGCCACTAGTGAGCACCTACCTTGTTCACTTGCTGCCGCGCCACCTGCCTGCCTGTTTGCCTGCCTGCTTGTTTGCCTGCCTGCTTGCCTGCCGCACCTGCCGCACCTTTCTGCCGCACCTGCCCTGCCCGCGCTGCTACTGCTGCTACTACTGCTACGTCTGTTACTGTTGCTAGGCTGCTGCTGCTGCTGCTGCTTCTACTGCTGCTATGTCTGCTAATGCTACTACTGGCAGTGGCCAGATGCATCTCCAGCGACGTCCACGCGAGGCTCTCACGCCCCAGCAGCTTCATGAGTGGTACGCTAGTTGGGGTTGTGGCGGTAGCCGTCGTAGCTGTCGCCCTGGAGCTGGTCAGTTGGGAGCGTCTTGCAGTGGCCAGCTGCAGCTGCAATGGCGTCAACGCGAGACACTTACATCCCAGCACCTTCACGAGTGGTACGCTCAGAGTAGAGGGTCTCGGAGTACCGTTCGCTGCCCGTATGTTATTCGCACAGGTGATCGGGCTGGTCAGGCTTGCGGGATGCTTGGTCACACACAGTCCCGCTGCTTCGCTCGTCTGAGCGACGCTTGGCGTACCAAGTTTGGCGACGAGGCTGAGCTCCCCACCTGGCTGGAGCTGCTTAGGCAGAGGGTAGATATCTTTGCTCTTGACTATGATGCTATTCTCACTGCCATGTATGCATTGCCAACTAGTGCTGACGGTGCCTGTTACCTGTGCGTACCGCCTGACCCAAGTATAGAGCTTGCTGCTCTAGGTGCTGGTGAGGCTGCTGCTCCAGGTACTGGTGAGTCTGCTCTCTCTGGTACTACGTTTGGTGAGGCCTTGTACACCTTCACAATTGACTCAGGTGCTTCCCGCTCCTTCTTTCGCGACAGCACCACCCTCACGCCGCTCAGTCGGCCGATTGCAGTCTCCCTGGCAGACCCCTCTAGGGGTCCAGTCCTTGCGCACTCCTTCACAGTCTTGCCGTGTCCGGCGGTCCAGTTTGGCTCCCTGTCAGGTCTTCACCTCCCCTCGTCCTCTACGAACTTGGTGAGTGGTGCTGACCTCCAGGACCAGTGGGTTGACCAGTTCACTCCTGGAGGTCAGCGCGTGACCCACTGTACGTGCTCCAGGACAGGCCAGCACCTGGCCACGTTTACCCGTGCGCCCGGCTCGAGTCTGTACACACTGGCTACATTGTCCCCTCAGGTCGCTGCATCCGCGTCTACGTCAGGTCAGCTAGCGCCCCCCTCCTCGTATCGCGCTTTGTCGCACCAGACCCTCCATTGGCACCACCGACATGGTCACCCCTCAGTGCAGCGCCTTCGTAGCATGCATCGCCGTGTCCTTGTCTCTGGTCTTCCCAGGGTTCTCCCTCCCCTCCCTCCCTCGTCTGCTCCTCCCTATCTTCCCTGTGTCGAGGGGCGGCAGCGCGCCGCTCCTCACTCCTCCTCGTTTCCCCCGACGACTGCTCCCCTCTAGACCCTGCACATTGACGTGTGGGGCCTAGCCCGCGTCAGTGGGCAGGACCGCGAGCAGTACTTCCTGCTGGTTGTTGACGATTACTCGCGTTACACCACGGTCTTCCCCTTGCGCATCAAGGGTGAGGTCCCTGATGTTTTGATTCCTTGGATCCGCGCTGCCCGTCTCCAGCTCCGCGAGCGGTTCAAGACGGAGTTTCCCGTCCTGCGTCTACACTCTGACAGAGTTGGAGAGTTTTCCCTCGACCTCCTACAGAGCTTTTGTCCTGGGGAGG